ATACCTATAATATATAGTACTCCGTACACGGCTCAGGCGAGTCGGCCACCCCTCGGGGATTAGGTAGGGTTGGTGCGTTAGATCGGAGTAGAATCGCCGGCCAGTGGAGTCAGGTCCGATTTGACTGACACACGAGGCCGAGGAAGGGCAGCAAAATGGTCCTGACAAGGAGGTCCGCGGCCGTGAGCACTAAACGCTCAAAGGTGGTTGTGATCACGAGGCCAGCCAAGCGGCAGCCAGTGGTCGTCGACGACGAGTCGTATGAGGAGAGGCCGGTGATCAGGGCACGCAAGTTTCAGTTCGAGAGTTTCAGTATAGAAAAGGCTGACGAATAAACATGGGCTGAATACAAGCGCCGCCTGATCCAGGCCCTCCAGCATCAAGGCTTTACGGCGGATGCGGAGTGCAAACAGGCCTTCCTAACCTGTTCGGACAAGAGGCTGTACCGGCTGTTGGTGGCGTTGTGCCACCCGGAGGTGCTGGAGGGCGCCACGGTTAGTTTTAAGAAAATTCTGCTGAAATTGGACGAGCATTTTGAGGAAGACATCTCGGAGGCCATGGCAGAGCATTTATTTGAGCAAAGAAGGCAGAAGCCGGGTGAGTCCGCGGCCGAGTGGGTCGCGGACCTCCGGCAGCTCGCCATTCCGTGCAATTTCACGGATCTGGACCGCCGCCTCCGTGCACAGTTGGTGCGTGGGGTGGCGGACAAGGACTGCCAAGTAAAGCTGCTAGAGGCCCCGGCGCTAGATGTGAAGAAAGCCGTCAAAATCATACAGACGCATAAGCGCAGCCAGGTCGAGTGCGAGGCGCTGAGCAAGCCCGGCAGCACGGAGCGGGCCGAGGCGCGCGAACCCAGCGTGATGTATGTGCAGCAGAGCAGTAGTCAAAACAATAACAACAGCCGAGGGGAGTGCTTCCGCTGTGGAAGGGGGCACAACCCGGACACTTGCTGGGCGAAGGACGTGGAGTGCCGGAAGTGTGGGGCGAAGGGGCATTTGAAGCGCAGGTGTGTGTCCACATGGAAGAAAGGAGGACAGGGCAGCTCGGGAGGCCAAGGCGGCGCAGGGAAGGCGCCCCCGGCCCAGGGCGATGCGCGGGTCAACATGCTTCTCACGCAGCCGGCGGGAGCCAAAGGAGCGCCAGGGGACGCAAGGGAGCCCCGAGGCGCGAAGGGCACCACGGGGGACGCGCTCAGCAGGGGGGCGGCGGGAGCCGCGGCCGCGACGCTCGGGGAATATGGCCCTTGAAAGATAAGACATGAAAAGTTGCCGACTTAATACAACCCAACTATCATTGTAGATATGAGCAAGTAGAGCAACATATCCAAAGATAAAAACAATCTACCGAGCCATTTCCGAGCAAACTGCGTTCAAAATTTGAACTTTGAACAATTTTTCAACTTTGATTTACTCGTGATTGGCTCATTGAATTTTAACAGGCTTGCGGGTGTTTAATGTGGAACGCTCTTACTCTTCAAAATATATATAATTTGTCCACGTTTTGGTCCACATTGCACGTAAAAAGGACCAAAAATACAGTTTTTTCTTATTTTGAGCCTGTTCAAAGTTTGATTTCTTTGATTTTGTAAGTGCAAACGAAACAGCAAAATTGTTTTTTCAAAAGTTTTAGATAGCGGTCTGATCTACAAATTTTATTTAATGCTAAAATTCATATCTCTTACCTGTTACGAGCTAGGTAGAATAAAACAAATCCAAAGACGCCTGGCTGGAGGTCGTTGTGTGGGTTGCCTATCAGCGCCTTACGGAGATTCTCCACAGGGTCTCCGCAGACAAGCAGCGCATCGCACTCTTTAGATCGATATAGCTCGTCAGCAAATAGCGCTATCGAAATGAACGGGGGGACATTTCTGAAGAGAGAACTGCGAGCTACAACGTTTATAAAAACACTTTTAGTCGAATTCTCATTTCTTCACTCGTAAAACCGATAAAAGGAAAAATTGAACACTGTGAAAAACAGAAAAAGGCAGGTTTTTGGCCCATATCATGATGAATTTGGAACCAAACCTCAACAAACTATACATATTCTGAAAGGGTAGATTAATGCGCATTGAACGGTCGTAACCGCAAAACAATCCGATCACTAGTTAAGTAGTAAATAAACTTTTAAAAAGTGTCAAAAATTTGAACTTTGAACGCAATTTGTTCGAAAACGGCTCCGTCAAAAATTCTAAATTTTGGATATGTTGTTCTACTTGACGAGCTCTACAAGAATAGTTCGGTCGCTTTTAGTCGGCAATTTTTTCCTACCTCCTTATGGGAGTGGTCGTATATGCAGTGTACTAAGTGCATTGCAAGCGCACTTTATGCACTCTTCCACCCACACATTCTGGACATTAAAATGTCTTTTAAAAGGATAGGGCTGACGATGGTGACGAAGCTGTCACTGCGTCAGGAGGGGCCTGGAAAGGTAGAGCCTTTTGTTCAAAAAAGCAAACTGGTTGAAAGGCCCCTTCCTGATGCAGATGAGGCCTCTTCCTCATCCAAACCAAGCACACCACCACCTCTGCCATCGCCCCTGACAGCCGCGAGAAAAACTGTTAAGCCCTTGTCGTCCCCTACCAGGAGATCAACATGTGGTTGTAAGCAGAGGGGGTACCGAACGCAAAGTAATTTGTGGATTTCTAGTGAGGGAAGGGCGTTAAAATGGTGGGCCGAGTGCGTGTGAGTGAAAATCCGAGAGAAATATGTCCGAAAAGTGTCAAAATGCCCCTTTGACATTGTCATTCCCTGTGTGGAGGGGCGTGTGTGTGCGTGTGAGTGGTTGTGTTTGTGTGTGTGTCTCTTGTAGGTAAGTGGTTCAGCAAACAAATTTTCTTGTGTTCTAGTACTAACTGGACGGCGCGCCTTTGGTGGCCGTGCCCGCCCCCACACCCGCCCCCGCACCTGAGCCCGCCCCTAACCATGTATTCTGGGAGGATGTAGAGTTACCAGGGGGTGATTTCTACGTCGAGGAACATGTGAGTACCTTGTTGTGGTGTGGTCGCCTCCCCTATGGTGTCCGTCAACAAAAAAAATCTAATGCGTTCATTCTAATGTTTACAGGAGGCGACACTCAGGGTCAAAGCCCTAGCGAGTATGAAGAAGAAAGAGAAGAAAGTACTTAAGAAAGTTAGGAAAGTCAAGCCTTAACACTGCAATTATTTTTTTTTAATGTTCATTTGTGATTCTTAATGTGATCGTGTCATCTTCATCTCTCTAGGGTTTTGTTTTACCACTCACAATTTTTTTTACCAATCATCACCTCATCCTTAGAGAGTATCGTTTCACCTCCTTTTTTTGTATATATGTGATTTTTGTCTATGATCAACCTTTTTTTTTTTTTTTTTTTTTATGTGATTGGCCCATAAGGCCTTTGCTCATAATGGGCAATAAATATTTTTAAAGTTCATTTTTTTGTGTTATCCTTTACCCATCAAAACTTGAAAAGATTGAGTGGCATGTGTTATTTCATTGTTAAATCGTGGTAGAGGCTGAATGAGTTAAACATATATTTGAAGGTTCCCAACCCTCCTGTTGGTGCCACGCCGCCGCCACCGCCCGGCCGGGTCTTGTAGCGCGCACACGAGAGGGTTCACCCAGGTTTACACGTACTCACGACCGTACTGGTCATGTTGAGCACCGCGACGACGCATCTCGCGCACAGTGTGTGTGTGTGTGTGCACACGCGAACATGTGCACGACTTACAGCGCGCACCGCTCGGACTAGTAGAATTTTAAAAGATCTCGAAAGTTCCAATCCATTTCCTGGGGCTCATGACAAAGTAAAGAGTAATTATCTAAGGAAAAAAATGTATCACAAATATTTTGGCTCTGTTAAACCAAAACAATATGTGAGTGGTATTGGTGTTGATGGTAAAAAACAAGTGTTCCACTATGTACCCATTGAAGCTTCACTGAAAGCCATGTTGAACGACCCAGCCGTTCACTGTAAAACGTAGAGTGACCTTTCTTTCCCGAATAGAGCGACGTATATTCTTCATCGCTCTGTTAGAGCGATTTTTTCGAAATGACTCAACATGAGTCTTCTTCGTAACAGAAAATGTCGCAGAAACGACTCTAAACGGGCGACGTTTGTGAAAATGACTCAAAATGAGTCTTTTTCGTAACCAAAAATGTCGCGGAAAGTTACTCCAAACGAGCGATGTAATTAATATCGCTCTCCCAAGAGTCGTCAAATTGGCTTCACAATATCGCTCTATTTGCATCGTATTTGGTCACTCCTTTACTTGTAGTGTTGTGTCAGCTTTACTTGAAGATGATTTAATACGTGATGAAAATTTGTGTGAAGACTTTTATGATGATGGTTCTGTTTTTAAAGACAATGAATTCTTCAAGGAAAATCCAGACAGTATCAAAATAAATTTATATCTCAAGATGAATTTGAGGTAGTACGTGCTATTGGACCAGCAAAAACTAAGTACAAGATCTTGGCTGTTTATTATTCTCTTGGTAACTTACCACTACATCTTCGTTCAGATCCAAAAAATAATCAATTGGTTGCTCTGTGCAGAATTTTTTTTTCAAGCCTGAAGTACTTTTTAAGAAAATTGTCGAATACCTTAAAGTTCTCGAAACAGTGGGAGTTGAGGTCAAGCCCAACTGTTTCAAGAAGGCATCTATTGTCACTATTGCTGGAGATAATCTTGGGAGCCATGCCCTTGGTGGTTGGTGGCTTTGTTGAGAATTTCAGCTGCTCTCACTTTTTCTGCCGTTATTGCCGTATTCAAAGGAAAGACTTAAATAAATTTGAATTTACAGCCACAGCTGGATCTGAGTTTGAAGAAGTTGCTGATGTACTCAGTAATAGTAATTCTGACACTGAAACTCGAGAGCAAGAAGTGGGACTGGAAGAAGACTGTGACGAGAGCTGTAATGGATATTCTGATTCTGATTCAGAAGGTGATAAAACTGATAGTGATTTTAGTGACGATGATAGCAATGAAAATTTTGATCAAACTGCTCAATATGGGGCTCAAACTCAAAGTTACACTCCAAAAGTTTTCCCCAAGAGGACTATTGACAGTTATAATTATGCAGTAAGCAAGGTTAAAGGGAGTGTATAGTCTTATGAAGGTGTGAAATATAATTCTGTTTTTAACACACTGGATAATTACCATGTTTGCCTCCCTGGGCTAAGTCTATGTTTAGGTCATGACTTGAGTGAGGGCATAATTACTCATGACCTCGCTCTTTTTATCAAGTACTTTGTTGGTAAACAGTGGATTACTTATTAGTCTCTGAAGTCAAGAATAGAAGAATTCAAGTGCTCCACACTTATCTGCTTAAGGCAAGTCGCCTGCAGAACAAAATCAGAGTTGGGGCGGAAGAGGTAAATTAGACACGCAATGTTTTTATTTAACGGGTGCTCACGCAATGAGTCAGTGAGCGAGTCAGTGTAAGGAGGTTTGTGCTGTATTGCGTTACATTGCTATGTGGTTTTATTTATTGATGTTTCAAACACGCCAATGATGCCGTGGCCGAGACGTTTCAATTTGCGACAAACAGATTTGCGGACCTCGTTTCTTCCTCACTGAGTCAACGGTTTGCTTGCGTATTTTGCAAACACTTTCAGCCCCTGAAAAACCTGCTGAGAGATGGGTAAAATCTCAGACGTGGGAACGGCAAAGCCTTCCTGTTTTGAATCCCCTCCAGGTGGCAGCTCCAAGCAGAACGTTTGGGCTACGCCGGCAACGCCGCGCACCCAATCCGTTACAGTGCCTGTTGACGGGTCTGGAAAACAAAAAAGTTATCTTGTTGGTATTTTGTCGTTTTTCCGTCAAGGTATACTTCATTCGTAAGGAAACATCATACGCAAAGAGCTTCACACAGGTTCTGCCAGAGGTTCTAGCACTGATCTTTAATATTTGTCCTGTAAATATTTTGTGAGAAATCAACGTATGACAAAAGACCAACCTCCCGGATGTTGGTTTTTAAATTGAAAGTGGCTCTATTCGCTTGTTGCACCTAAAGAACTAAATCCGGTTTTGCGACTTTTCAAAGGGGATAGCAAAGCGCACGGTGGAGGGTGAGACGGTGGCTGCAAGGGGGGTCTGCTCGTGGGGTGGGTCCAAAATCTCGACAGGTTGGGGGATTAACGCCCAGGTCGGGGCCAACTGTAAGGCCAGTTCACACTACCTTCAGTCGGGGCCGCCGCCGTGCAGGTAGGTAAGTGGAAAGCCCAGACTCAGCTTGCGCGGGACGGGCTCCTACCTGACTCTCTCGCACACTCCGGCCGGGTGAGCCGGGCGAGGGTCGGTGCCGCTCAAGCTAAGTCGGGGCTGCCCAGCTACCTGCATTGCATAGGCCACCCCAACTGAAGGTACTGTGTACCGGCACGTTAGATAGCCCCGACTCGGCCGTTAATCCCCATACCTGTCGAGATTCTGGACCCACGGGTCCTTATGCTGGGAGACCCTCGTGCCGCCACCGTCTCTCCCTCCACCGTGGCAAAGCGTGCAGCCAAAACTCCGTGGCGTTTTGGTGGTTATTGTTCGGCGTGATACTATATAATAGAACCAAGCTTTACCTTATAGTAAGCCGAATGAAGGTGTGTTATTTTTTTTTAATCCGAATAAAATTAGCTGGAGCAAATTACAGCAACAATTCGTCATTAAGTGAGTTTCGAACGGTACTTCAAGCTTAAGGGAAGGTAGGTTTTTATTTTCTGCCATATCGTGAAGTGAGATACCTCAGGTTAATTTATCAAAGCAGAATTTTCCAATACCTTAGAATTTTTAGCCGACACCCTTTCTCTGCAAAAGCTATTTAGCCGGCACACCTTTCTCTAAAACCACTCCGGAGATGAGGTTGTTTTATCAAGAAATTCGGAGATAGACAATGTTAGGACTTCACTGGTGACAAGTGAAAGTGAAATAAGTCTACTTTTCCTAAAAATCAGTTTTTTTTCAATTTTGAATACTACTGGGTAATGGGAACCGTATGATGTAGTCAAAACTTTCCTAAGTACAATAAGCCCAGTGTTATGGCACACTTCCCATGTCAATATGGGATAAGTCCGGTTGTAATTTTTGCAGACATTTTTTGCAGACAATTTTTGCATAAGTCCAAAACAATAATTTTGCAATGAGGCATATGTCCGGATGTGTTTTGTCAGAATGGCATATGCCCATAGATCCAGGGGACTTACAGTGGACTCTCGATAACTGTCGCCTCGATAACTGTCGCCTCGATAACTGTCGCCTCGATAACTGTCGCGTGCGAGAGAGATAGCTATAGAAAAATAGCCCGTTCCATGCGGACTGACTGCCGGCTCCGGGGGCTCGCCCGACTCGCCTGCCGGAGGAGTGGGGAGAGCGGAGCACGGCAGGAGCGAACGCACAGTGCCCTCGATAACTGTCGCGGCGACAGTTATCGAGAGTCCACTGTATGACATTCTGACAAATCACGAACGGGACGTTTGCCCTTTTTCAGAATCAAGTTCGTGGACATACGCCAGTCTGTCAAATCACACCCGGACACATGCCCGTGGCACAAAATCACCACGGACATACACCTTTTTGTCAAATGTTGTGACATTGATTTCACTTTTCTTCTATCTAGGGCTAATGTAACATCAACAATCCAGAGAGAAATTGTAATGCAAAACATATTCTAGATTGTAGGTTATTTACGTAAACATTCAAAGTCAACTGTCGATATAGTGGGATTTTAATGGTGAAAATACAGAGGAGAAAGGACGCCTCTGTAGAGCTACAGAGCTACTGCAGTGATATTTGGACCGTAGATAATATGCAGATAGTAGGAACATACGCTTTAGAGTCAATATTCGACTGATACAGTTAACAGTCGATGGGAGTGGATGATATAGTTGCTCTAGAAACTTATTAGGTTACCTGTTCAAATACTAGCAAAATATATTAGCTGACAGAGCGAATCTTTCTTTTTTTTTTTTTTTTTTTTTTGTACTGGCGTTTAAATGCAATATTTATTGTTTAGAACAATAAACGGTATTGTTTAGTTCCGTAGATGCCTTTAATAGTGACTACCATGGGATCAAGTTTTGAATGGTACTATTTATAGTGCATTTTTATTTAAGTTTCATTTTCGAATTTCCAAACCACCCGGGCGGAAGGATCTTAACTTTAAGTGTACTTTGAAGTACACATGTCAACGTATACTTCATAAGTGTACTTCGAAAATATAAGGAATGAAAAGTTTTAGTAGATAATGCTAATAATGGGAAGTCAAATGCATCCTTTTTTGTGAACTGAAACATAATTAGAAATGTATTCTAGAGTATATCGAAATGTATACTTTAAGTGTATGAAAACTTCCGGAAAGTACCCTAAAGAGTGTACTCTGCCGAAAAAGGTGGTACTTTTAGTACACTTTTAGTACGCATTTGTTCACTTAAACTAAACATTTATTTCACATTTCTTTACAATTTGTGGAAAAAATGTAAACTTTAGAGGTGGACTTTTCCAAAACAATGAGTTAAGTTTGACTTGAAAAAAATGTTCACATAAAGTAAAGTACAACGTAAAATAAAAATGGAGTACTGCGATATGTATTTAAAAGTTAACATTCTTCCGACCGGGCATTTACACTATTTTCTGTTGGCAAAGCTTAGTTCAATTTCTATTTATTTTCCCATGGAAGGTTCATTGTTCGAATTGATCACAGTAAAATAAGACAAAAGTGTATCGATAAATATTAAAAATTACTTACAATCTGCAGCCATGTTTTCAACAGCGTACGATTTCGCCCCAGCCTTCACCATGGCAGCGTTAGCCTCCTTGGCAATGACGTTCTGGTATAAACGACAAGAGAAAGGTCCCCTTTGTAGCATTAGACACCAATATGCAATTTAGTTTACATGCACTTTAAACCTCGGGATAACGCTTCTTGTGTCGGAATCTCCGACGACTTTACGCACATGGTTCATGTCAAAGTTATACACAGTACGTTGTTGACCGCCCGAAGCTCGGCTCGGCTGAGCCGCCCACCTCAGCTCAGTTTGGAAAGAAATCAAGACGAAACTTACAATGGAGCTTCGTTATTATAGTGCAACCTCACCGTATGTGACGTGTTTCCCTGTGAGTGAAGTGGTTCTCCCACATTAACTTGCAAATGTCAGCGGTCCGGTCGGCCCGACCTCACACCAGTCCGTTCTTTTGAGAATACTTCATAATTACGTGTTGTTTCAAGACCAGCGTGGTGCCGAGAGAAAGAGGACCAAGGTAGTACAGTAGGTAGTGTCACTAGACCCCTCGCGATCTAAATGGTCGCCAAATCGTGACGTCACCATTTGTCCTCCCGCCCGTAGTTCAAATTACGGCTCGTGTGCCCGTCTCAATATTATGTGTTGTAACACACACGCGATAAAAATATCCTCGGTATTTTGTCTTAGCACCTCTCAGCATCGATAAATGACGATACTTTTACTCAGATGCTGGGCTGGCCGAATAATGCGGACGGATTATAAACAGCCCTCACCTCACTCCCGTACGATCAGCTGAGCGGCCAAGCAGCGGCCATCTTGGATGTGAGGTTACGGGCGCCCGTAATCCGTCCGCATCTTTCGACTTGTTCGGCATCTGAGTAAAAGTATCGTCATTTATCGGATGCTGGGGGTAAGACAAAATACCGAGGATATTTTTATTCCGTGTTTGTTATAACACATAATATTGAGAGGCACACGAGCCGTAATTTGAACTACGGGCAGGAGGAGAAATGGTGACGTCACGATTTGGCGACCAATAAGATCGCGAGGGGTCTACTGACACTACCTTCTGTACTACCTTGAAAGAGGACAACCGTGCTGTGATATGCATGAGTTAGCATCGTTTCACTCAAAGTTTCGCACACATCTTAATATTGGCCCTGTGCAGTGCGCGCGCTGGCCGGCAGGGCGGCGGGTAGCGGATAGAGCATCGCTTCAGCCGCTCGGATGGCGTTGCGGTCCCCTGATGAAGTACAGTCCAGACTACAGGATCACAGTTTCAAAAATTACCATACCATTCTGTTGTGATTTACTGTAGTAAATTTCAACGGCGATCGCAAGCCAGTATGCACCTTGTGTTCTCTCTCTTCTACAGGACTCGATAGCAGGCCAGGCCAGGCAGGACCGGTCGACCGGTCCCTGCCGAACGGAGATACCAGCAAAGCAAAGTGAGCGGGCAACTATTCCGCGTTTAGCGGTTCACAATGAACGTACGAAAAGTCATCGGATATTTTCACCCGCCACGCGTTATTCCAAGAGAAGTAATCATGAGTCCTTCGGGGTTCTCAGTGGTTTCAACTACTCACCAGCTTGTTGATATCGGGTAGGGTAGGAGCCGTCACTGAATAGCCCCATGGCGTAAAGATTGCCTGGAACGATATTTACTGTTAACAAATGATGTCCACTCTACCACCAGAACCTCTGCGTCGCTGTCTGGCAACTCAATTTAGACAAGAAGGGTGTGGGGAAACGAACCGTTCAGAAGGTCGCCGTCCAACGTCGCAATACCCAATATCTCTATGATTTAGTGTGTCGGATGGAGAACACAAACTTACTTACGATCACCTAAAACCGCCTTTCCATACGTTAATGCTGTTAGAAAAATGCAAGCCCCAATATGCATCGAGGCAAATCGAAAACTTAAGTCGATCTCTCAGAAGAGACTTGCACTTGCGAGCGATTGCGACAAAGTACGGCCACCCGATAAACTAGCTAAGCGTCTCTACGAAGTTGGCTGGAACTACGTGTTTATACGCAGTCACTACAAACTCCGTGTTTGTAGTTTTCAAGTGGTTGGGTACCGGCTGGCCTCTGACCAAAGAAACCCCAAAAAAGTCGGTGCAGCTAGATTGTCCGACCTATTTTCCTCCGACCTGGTGATTTTTCCAAAATCCCCAAAAGTACTGTCCGACCTAGGTTTTGTCCAACCTCATTTTATCCGACCTCGTCGATATGCTGAAATTTGGGAAGAATGTGCTTCTAAGACGAACGGGCTTCAGAGGCCATGAAGGGAAAGACCGCGACTATGGCGGAGTGCAGCCCCACGTCACAGAACAGTCAAAAGTCCGCTCGGCACCGTAAATGCTCAAGCCTAATTCTCCCCACCCGGTCAAAAAGATTAAAAATGGGGGAGTATGTCCCTCACCCCACAGTCGGCGGCGACTTCTGAGTTCGGAACGGGATCAGCCGACTCTAACCACAGTGCTCAGAACATACTCCCGGGGGGTGTTGGACTTACAGTTGTCGCAAGGTGAGCAAGACTGAGACCCAGATTCCGAGGCCTTACCTCCTAGAGGACTGTTATATTTTTCCGTCCCGATGGGTACGCGGCGCGGGTATCGAACCCACAACCCCGAGTGCTGAATCCCATCGTCAGTTACAGCGACCCTGCTAACGGAGGTGAGACGTGTTCTGATTCTACTTGAACTTTAGGTCGGCCGTGAGGCCGTACACCAACGCCACATGGCAAAGCGAAAAATCTTGCCGAGCCTGGAGTCGAACCGCCGACCTCCCACGCTCTGGGCGGGTACCCTACTGACTGAGCCATAGAGGCAAGATGCTGGCTGTCGCTCCAAGGAACCACCCATTCTACGCAGTTGACTGTGACACATAACTGCAGTATTTCAGCCGAGGGGGGGATCACTTCGAAAAATCATTGTACAAACCCCAAAAAAGTAAAAAAAGAAATATGAAAAATAGTCGGAAAAAAGCAAAAATCAAAATTAAATCAGAAAATATATCCCGAAATCAAAATGAAATCACAAACATTCCAAAAAATCACCAAAAAGTCCAAAAAGCCAAAACAAGTCAATTAACGTCAAATCATTCTACAAATTTCCCATGAGGGATTCCCCTTGATTTCAGCTCTCCTTTTGAGAAATGCAATATCGTAGCGACATCCAAACGACGTCTAAATAAACTTTGGTCGATTTGCGGCCCAATATGACTGCCTATGTTCAGTCTAAAGTGTAAGGTTGTAAGTTATCAGCTGTTAAAACCGATGTCAACGTCACTGTGAGAAATATATTTCTACAGGTATGATATATTTTGTAATTTGCCATTTACAATACGAGTCGTACATGTACAACCTCCCGCTGTCGCTCGTATTCGATTCCAAGTCGATACATAGGGCGAGTAAATTGTACAATTTTAGATTGTACTTGTACGACTTCGTCCATGAAAAATTTTCCTCTACCCGGTACGACAATTTTTCACAGTGGTCGATTCGACATCGATCTGATACTGAATTTCTCACTAGGGTCGGGGCCGGGGGTCGATTAGAGGGGACCTAAATGTGTCGTATAACATCATTACTTAGGCCTGAAAAATCACTCCTTATCAGGCCGAACTATAAGCCTAATAAGACCTACTTTTATAATATATGCGTGCAAGCGTTCAGCACTAAGGGAATGAACTGTACCTGTTCGGGACTATGCAGGTTAACGTACATCTTGATGAGCTTGTTTTTGTTGAGCGTGCGGACTAAGCTCTGGTAGTTGCGCGTTTCGGGCTCTGACGCTGCTTCTCCTCCAGCGTACTGCAGGTCACAGGGGTCGTCACTTGCTCCGCCACTCATGATAAAATCTGCAGATTGAAAAGAACAAGGCGGTGATGGCAATCTGCTGCGCAAGATAGTGGCCATGTAGTGCTACAGTCTTTTTAAAAAAAAATCGATAAAAAACAACAATGTCACGTGTTACGTTCATAAATCTAATTAGCTTGCCTGCCCAGTGGTAGTCAAAATTTCGGTTCAAATCAACGCCGGGACACTTCTTGTTGGTAGTATTTCTATTTTTCCTCCAGAGACGATCCTGAAAATATGAATGCAACGTTTTAGCTGACTGTGACGTCAGTGAACCCGTACCGCAACTGAAGCGATCACCTTGGTGCGTGAGTACTCATAGCCGTCGGGGTTGAGGACGGGCACAACTACGAGGTCTATGTCGTCTAGGAGACTCGTGGCCGAGCCTTCTACCACTTGTTGGAGGAAGTACAGCACGGCTGGAAGCGTGATCCACTCGCGAGCGTGCATGAGTGCATCAACCAGCATCACGGGCTTACTTTCCTGCGAAAGGTTCTTTGAAACGCGGACGAATATGATGTCGCGTCCTTCAACAGACTTCCCCGCGCTAGACACGCGCACAAGCGTCGGGTGTTTCGCTTGTAGTGCATTTAAGTAAGCCACCACCTGAGTGCAGTAAAAAAGACAAAACCTCAGTCGTCTATTCCGAAGTCAGACTCTTTCGGACCCGAATGTAAAAATAATTCCTCAGTCTCACTACCAGCAATACCTCATTAAAAGTCGGATACTTTGTGAGTGACAGATTTCCGGCAGAAGGTACAGCCGTCTGCCGCTTGGCCATAGACCTGAAATCAGATCAGCAGTCAACGCAAGGTACGCGTTTGCACTTCGGACTTCGACGCGTTTAGCCGCAAAAACTCAAGAAATCCAGACACGATGACGAGAACAGCAAACGCACAACACTATTAGAAATTTCCACGGAATTTTGAACGGAATTGTCAAGACATTTTTTTTTACGGAATGTACCGCAATTTTTTCGTATTTTCTACGGAAACCATACGGAAAAACGGTATTCTTAAGTTACGGATAAACCGTAAGCTTTTCCGTAAAATTTTGACTTATTGATTAGGAAAAATAATACATTGCACTGTAAGTCGAAGAATTGGATTTTGAGAAATACGAGAGCGTAAAGTTATGGTTTTGCGAAAGAGGCAATAACATAAATCTCTATGGACAGCTCAATTGTTTAAACTATTTGTTTCAAAAATTATTGAAGATTTAATTTGACGGGTAAAATGTAAGGGATGCACCGTTATTTGAAATATGGACAAGTCCGTATCTTTAAATTACAGTCATCCCGTTACGGTTTGGTACCGTATTTGGAATTTACGGTGAGTTCCGTAAGAATTCCGTAATTAGCCTACGGAATTTCTAACAGTGAACCGTACACGGAATCCAATTTTATCCGATCACTGGTATATCAAGTGCCTAATGTTGGTGTTAAAGTTCAAGTGTGCACTTTCTCATCACATTGTGGTGCTTAGCTAGGTTGAACGTCAATTGGTGTTTAAACTTTCCACACTTACACAAAGTACAGCAGCGGCACACCATATGGTTCCTATAGATATGTATGTGTCCAAGTGTGCAGAATTTAAACGTTTACAAAACGTTTAAAATGTGCACACCACGCAAGTGTGCTACTCGAGCTAAACTCCATGTAATGTTTAAAATCATAACTTGCCCCGTGAAAAACGGAACGTATATGCAACCTATATGGGTCGTTTATTAGCTGTATATGCCTACTTTGTGCAAAAATACCCAGTATATGACCGTATACAACGAGCATATAGAACGTGTATGGTTCGTATATGACTAATGCATCATACATACATGGCGGATTAATGCGCATATGTTCCCACATATATGTACAATGATGTATTCGCCATATGCTGGATGCACAAAGTAGACATATACAGCTGACCCATTTACGTTCTGGTTTTCACGGGGCACATATGGGTATTATGCACACTTGTTTTACCAGTGGAGAAATCGTTTAGATACTTTTCCACAAAACTAATATGTGCAGTTGTCATCTAACATTTCGTGCTTAAAACAACTGCTGCTAGCTTACAAAATTAACTATGCTTTCGCTGTTAATTTACAACATATCTTTTAGCAGTACAGAACAAACACGCCACGGCCGTTTGCTTGTGCGAAATATTTTTTTTGATTTTTAGTAAGCTAAAGGTAGGCTGCAAAATAAAAATAAAAAAACACGAAAACTACCATTAGAAAAGCAGCGCGCTACGTGCCTTCCATTGTGCTGCGTAACAGCGGCGCAGGCCACGGCCAAAGTGCAAAGCACGAGGAAACGGGAACTCATCGCAAGTACTGCCAGAAACCATATGCAAGGTTGTCTCACAAGGCTAGCGCCCGTCTTAAGAAGGTGATGGGATCGTAAACATTGTTTTCACGAGGTGGGCACGTGGGGTCGGCAACTCGTGTTCTTCGTTTTAAAAAGTCTGACGTGTCTGGCAGTTTCAACGTGGGCATAATGTTCTTATTCGTGAGGGGAAGCTGCACTGCAAAATCGCAAGTTTTTCTTTTGTCAAAACATCGGTTTTTACGTAATGGTCGATCTTCTGGACCTTGCCGGGGTGTTTCACTGCAAAAACTTAATGTGAAGTGGCAACAACTATCGTGACAAAGCATTCATCTCGACCTATGAAACAAGCAGGACCCGCCCTTCCGCCGAACAAAGTTGCCAGCTCCGCTTCGCTCCGCCGGCCACTCCGTTCGGCAGGGGCCGGGCCAGCTTGGCCTGCCGGCGGCGATGGTCGGGCCTGCGGCCCGACCATTTCTGTCACGCGATTTGCTGAAGAACATGAGCGAATGATGAAGCGGGCCTTCGGCCCGCTTAAACCTGTCGTCTCTAAGTTTGCCCCAAAGACTCGAGAAAGGGATGTAATGGTGAAGCACCGCGACTACAACCCACCCTTCTGCGTAGAAAACGTTTTTTGGGGGTGGGGGGAGGGTTTCCTTTCTATTTTGCGGTTTTTAGGCCTTTTTCGACAACTTATTGTTCACTATGGCAATTTTTAGCTTATATTAGTCATAAAAGACCCTCTAGCGCCTAAAAGGTTAGAGATAGAGCGAAACGGACGACATTTTCGCCCACAGCGCTCTTTACTGACGAGGTACCCCCGAGGAGATCATAAAAAAACAAACAATACTTTAAGGGAGAATTTTGGAACCCTGGATACCCCTATTCACACCCTTAGGGGTGGTTGCCAGGATTTGCCGTAAGCGTTTCGTTCTCTAGGAGTGGACCTGAAGATACCCTGAAAATTTCAAGTCTCTAGCACATCTCCTTCTAGTGCTACAGACAGACACGAGGTGGTTTGCATAAGCCCGCTGGATAGCTTTTTCAAAGCAGAAGGGCGGGCTAACAAATGAGTCGTCACATGGTGTGATGACTCCCTTGTTGTAATAATTATATATCAGTCGTAACATTGTATTAAAAAGGTCATTTATCTCCGAAGTATTTTTTGTCACCTGACTGAAGATTTTGTTCAGTCTTCACACTTAAAGCTAATGAACATTTCTATTCATAGCTTACTGAGTTCATACCAGCCACTGTAAAAAAAAATTCTGACATTTAAGAGCAAAATATCTCTTAAATTTAATAACATTTTCACTTGTTCTGAAACACAATGACAGATTAAGATATGTAAAAAGTTTTCTTCCGGGTTATGAAAATTTTGATGAAATTTCGCAATTGAACAGAAGGGTCATTAAATTTCGTAAGTTTATTAAAGTACAAAGGTTTACCCCGTTTTGACAAATTATTTTGAAAAGCTACACCCATTTTTACTTGTTACTTGTAATACTATAGCATTCAGAATTAACAAGCTAGGCCCGCCCTTCCGCCAAACGAAGTTGCCACTTTCACTTCGCACCGCAGGCAACTCCGTTCAGCAGGGGCCGGGCCTAGATTGGCCTGCCAGCAACGTTTGGTCGGGCCTGCGACCCGACCTATTATAGGTCACTTATTTGAGTAAAACTTAAGTGTTCCGGCCCTGAAGAATGGTCCTTAGACGTAAGAGGAGACTGTAACGATGCGAGACCGTGACTACAAAGTGTTCCGGCCCTGAAGAATGGTTCTTAGACGTAAGAGGAGACTGTAACGATGCGAGACCGTGACTACTCGGCCCCACTCCCCACCCTGCTGGTTTAAAAAGGAATAAAAAAAAATCAAATAAAAATGAACAAGCGCAGTTTTTAGCACGTATTGGTCGTCTAACAGTCTTAAGACTTGACTTTTTGTCATTGTTCTAGATGCACCTACCTGTAGCTCCGATACGGTTAAAGATACGGCGAATCCCGATCAAGGATGTGCTATATTGGAGGGGGGAGGGGGAGTTCTTCATCTGTCATTTTACGATTTCACGTCTCCTTGAACGTCTTTAAGTACAGCGTGTTTATTTTCACCGTATTTTTGTCAAAAAAAACACTCTAGCGCCCCAACGGTAAAAGTTAGAGCAAAACAGACCAAATTTTGGCCCTATGAGTACTTTGGTCACCAGTAAACCCTTAGAAAACAATACAAGAAAAAATCCTACTTTTAGTAACGACCCCTATTTCTTTGCCATCACCCTTTCCACCCCGTTAGGGCTGGTTGAGGGGATATGCCGTAGGCGTATCAGGTAGTGACCCTTAAGACAACCCGAAATTTATAGACCTCCATCTCCTCTCCATCCTCTTACACGCACGACGGACGGACGGACGGACGTACACGAGAGCGGTTGGTGGAATAAGCCCGCTTCTATCCTTTTTTAAAAAGCAGACAGGCGGGCTAAAACTCATGCAGCATTTGACCTTTGAACATGGCATTTTGGCGCTCAATATGGTATTGGGCGAACATCGACTTAAAACAGGCGTGAGTACCTATGCCAGAGCCATATGTCATAAAGGCCAAAGATCCGAGGTTCGAATCCACCAAGCAGGGTTGCCAGCGCGCAAGAGGGTTTAATATAGTAGAATAGTGACTTCCCTGATCCCAAAAAAGTGACAAAAATGACATTTTACGTCTAAAAAGTGGGGTAAAAGTGACGTTATATGTTGGAATTTTATAATTTGGAACGTATGGTTCATATTTTGCACACATTCACCATGACTTAAGATTGAGTGGAAAAAAAAAGCACAAGAACAGAAGACTATCACTGAAGACTTTGGATTGTCGATCACTGAAAATAATGACCAAGATGATGACCCTCAGTGTTTCTGGAATATTTTCCAAGCTCTCAGATTAAATTTTCGAGGTCACCATCGAACTCCCCGTAAAAATTCTCGATTAAACGAGACTACATCATATCATAGTGTTCTGCACAAAAGTACTCTAGGAGTGTGCAAGTTGACGTCTTTATTTCAATGTCTTCAGACGTCTCTGAACCCTATCACATGTAGGCTCTGAGAGCTCGCTTAGAAAATGTTCCACAAAGACTTAAATACGAGCCGCGTTATTTTCTAGTGATCGGCATGCGTCATTGAGCAGTTTTCTGTATGGGTCAATCGATGAACGTATACTAACTTTCATCTGTCACTAGCAGCGACAATTTGAAACACGTTTCTGTACAAAACTGACGAAATTTCTCACTGGACGCGGTAAAATGGTCATTTTACCGCCTTGACCTCCGGAAAAGTGACGAATAGTGCATGTTTCCACAAAATAGTAGCAAAAAGTGAGTCATTTAAAAAATAGTGGATAAAAGTGAGAAAAGTGAGTCGCTGGCAACCCTGCCACCAAGGTAAGGCGAAGGAAGCAAACATCTATGGTGGGTACAAAGTTGGGTTTGAAAACTTACCGTAGGGAAAAGAACTAAATTTTTTCGTATGTTTTGTTGTCAACGTTAACATCTCGAGTAGCCAAATAGATGACTAACATTTGGTCTGTATCTTAAGGTGATACAGGACTGAAACTGGAAAAGTCCGTCAAAAAGCAGCTATTTTGAGTTTAAAATCAAAATGCGAATTAAATCAAGAAAAAGCTCGCTATTTCATTCTAAGTTAGTTTATTGCGGTTCTTTTAAGGTATAATAAGTCAATATTTAAACGTAACTGTGGTCGCGACACGATTTTTGAAGATAAAAAACGTGTCGCGACCACAGTAACGTTTAGATATAGACTTATACCTTAAAAGAACCGCAATAATCTAACTTAAAATGAAATAGCGAGCCTTTTATTGATTTAATTCGCATTTTGATTTTAAACTCAAAATAGCTGCTTTTTGACGGACTTTTTCAGTTTCAGTCCTGTATCACCTTAAGGTGCTGCAACAAGAAATGCACTGCCAAAATTGTTTTTGAGGGGACAAATTAGTTGTCAAAGGACATCGACATGCCGAGAGCATTTCGTGGAGTGACGACAGAGTTCAGCGTTACGGGTTGCTATCAGTAAAGCGGAAAGCGGTGAAAATAGATACGAACCTCCCACAATGATTGTTAGACGGGAGTTCAGAGCTTGTACAAACGATCTTCTTATCGAGAACGACCTCCGACATGTAAGTATATTGTCCTATTCTTCGATTTGTACGCTTTTATCGTCAGCTCTGTTTTATTTTATTTGTGCTCCCCAGGCAACGGAGTGTGTGGGGAACAATAGAAGGAAAAACATTTCCAATATTCCTAAATCAAAGGAAGAAGTTTTGAAGATTTTGAGTCAGCTGAGCAGGAGGGTCAAATTGTACATACCCAATAAAGGGGAACGATTCTGTTTCGTTCAAGAAACAGGATTTGTTTTCTACACCACCGCCGAAACCTTTAAGTTACTGCCTGTGTATTCAAGAGCAAATTTAATTTAGTTTATATAGTTAATACTTTTTTTAAAAGAAGATATTAGTGCAATTTTCAAGATTCTTGCACAAAGCAAAATATTTTTGGCGGACGGCACTTTTGACTATGCGCCGAACACTTCAAGCAACTGTACGTCGTCCATAGCACGAAGGATGGCCACTACATGCGCCAGGCATTGGCCACCCTATGAAATAAAGACGTAAGATTTTTGAATATTCTAAGTGTGTTTCGCCCAAAGCCCGAATCTTTCCTCCTAACGCCATAAATCCAAGATGGCGGCGAAACCGAGGGGTAAAGTGACGAATTTTTTTGAATTTATCGATATTAGCGGTAAACCACTAAATTATGCGTTTGAGATCACAAGTTTAACACACAAAACCTTAATTATGTGCGAAAATACTGCAGCCTTGAAACCATAGAAACGGCCAAAAATCGAACAGGGGTCAAAATGACCCCTCCGATCCTTCTAGGTATACGAAAATCCCGGTCCTTCAAGTGTTATGCTGTCAAAATAGTGCATTTAGACGGAAATACGCGATTTAAGGAAAGTAGGCCTAAATCGCGAGAAAATACAAATTTGCAGGTATTATTTGTTTAATTTATTATTTTAACAGAAAACAAAAATCCATAGCTTCTTCGTCCTCACGCTGTCCTCGTTCCCCGCTCGGTCACGACGAGTCTAGAAGCTGCAGAAAGTAGCTCGCGGAAATAAAGGTCTTTGATGTGGGGATCAGTTCTGTTGGGTAGGCTTAATGTGATAGCTGGTCTGTAGTGCTGTGCGAATCGAGTATTTTGGTTCAAATCGAATCTCCTCTAATTTTCCTCATCGAATCGAAACAGACCAAAAAAATTCGAACCGAATCTTTCTGAATTCGCGAACCGAGGGGGTAATCACTACAGAAAGTAAGTGTACACATTTCTATAAAAGTTAAGGTGAAAGTGACAAAAAGTTGACTGAAAGTGATGAAAACTGAAAGAAAATGTGGACAAAAGTGACTTATCGTGCGTTGATCAGATCAAAAATGAATAAAATAGAGGGGATATAGGCATAGAAATTAAGTAAACGTTGTAAAACGATGAAAAAGTGAATAAAAGTGGAAAAGTGAAAAGTTGAGGTGTACGCATTTTAACGGAGTGATTACCCCCTCCCCTCGTCGTGGACGAATTGAATCGTATAAAACTTGCCCCCCCCCTTTCTTTAGGAGTCTCGCGATGAAAAAACAATGCCCGCTTAGTGGTCTCTTTTAGCCGGAGGAGTATCGTTTCCTATATTTAAGGGGGGTCGCTGAACATACACAAATATATGCACCGTGTATGTTCAACGACCCAAAAAACATAAAACGATTCCAAGGCACTCCACCCATTAAGCCACTGCAATAACCAAGCATGCCAGAAGGTATCCGGCAGATTGTCAACATAAGTCGCCTAGTATTGTGGGTCAGGTGACTTTGTCACATACCTGCTGGACCCCGGGGGGTTGGCAACGGGGCGCTTCTGAGTGACCCCATGCGGTAGCGAGACCTCGGCCTCCCCCCACCGACAGGAGCCGGGCCGGGCCCCCCACCACCGGCCTCGGCGACAGGAGCCCGGCGAGTCGCGCCCGACTGCAGCGCTTCAGTAAACTCACTTCGGACGACCGAAACTAGTTCGCAGGCACACTGGGATGTAGGTTAACTCATCCCGTTTCGATTCATTACTCGTTGTCATAGTTTTCCAGACGTTTTGATAGAATATGGTTGAGTTTACTGAAGCGCTGCAGTCGGGCGCGACTCGCCGGGCTCCTGTCGCCGAGGCCGGTGGTGGGGGGCCGGGCCTCGCTACCGCATGAGGTCACTCAGAAGTGCCGCGTTGCCACCCCCTGTGGACATCCAGGATTTACAATGCAGGCGATCATTTTTTTTCTGGAAATGAGCTCCTTGTACTGTTAATAAACGGCCGTTTTAAATCTGTTTGGGGATTAATCAAGTTAATACTGGGTCAGTTGAAGTCAGGATCACAGCATGGAAATAATAGAAGTGCGATAGATACTTAACAGTTTACTAATGGAAACGTATTACAAGATAAATAAAGTCCGCAATAAAGAATAAAGAATGCAACCAGAATAGGGCAAGTCATAAGCTGATTTCATTTTGAAAAAGTTAAATAAA